TCCGACATATACCTCCATTAGACGCTGGTTGTTACGTACCAGCTAAAGGGGATGCACCCCCAGATGTCCTGCTTGATGATTGGATCTATTCAGCTACTTTTTCATAAGGGATTCTCCGCGGGTTCACTGGAGGCTATCTTCGTATTGAAACTCAAGACCCTATGATATATAGTCCCTTGAATGACCATGGCTGATTGTGACAGTTGAGCCCAATTGCAGCCCGCATGCAATGGGCTTTTGAACCTGCTGAGTGGTTTCATTTGTTCACCTCATCATTGGCCCATCATCATTGAAATCTACACGTTTGCGAATCCCAATTTGATGGATATGGTATAGGCCGTGTATATCGATATATATATATGTATATGTATACGTATATGTATATGTATATGTATGTATATATATATATGTGTATTTGTGTATATATATATATACAGGTGTGTGTGTGTGACATAGATATAGACATGCATGCACACGTACGTGCATCTTACATTACATACTTACATTGCATTCTTACATCACATAATTTGCACTGCATTGAATTGCATTTACCTTATATTTACACTAGACTACACAGCACTGAAAACTAGACTACATCACACCGAAATTATTTTCTGTCCATCACATCCCAAAATCATTATCTATATCTCTATATATGATGTCTATATTTTTGTCTCTATATCTATATATAAGTTATATTATTGCATTATAGATCCTGAAATCTTTGATACCTATATCTTTACAAAAGATGTGATGCAAAAACACCAGGCACCTCGCTGGTGGGGGATGCCAGTTACTTGGATTGCGAGGCGCCGGAATCCATGGGGAGTTCATGGGGATTTACTGGGATATACCTGGGATATAACTGGGATACAACTGGGATATAACTGGCCAACTATGCTGAATTCAGAAGTGCTTTTCTGGTGATTTTTTTACTGTTTGTGAACTGGAAAACAAAAGTGTTGAACAGGGAATTCATCGAACTAAATGGGACTACTATACCATAACTACATTGAAATTACCAGAGGGTAACCAACAAAATATGGGCTATCCTCCAGTAAACTAACATAGCTATAGATAATGGCCCATTTATAGATGGTTTACCTATTAAAAATGGTGATGTTCAATAGCTATCTTAGTTTACCAAAGGTACATCCAATAATTGCTGGGAAAAACATGGGGATGTGATTGGATAGTCACTGGGACCAACTGGATGAGGACTGGAAAGTATTTTGGATGGGAATATAATTAGTTACAATATAAATAAAACAATGCGTATATATATATAGCTATAAATATATGTATATATGTATATATAGCAAAATGTTGATGTTTGTCATCAATAGTTTTTTGCGTACCTAAGATGGCCATGATATTGGGACAGAAAAACTCCACCACAATTTCTGGGTTCGTCAAAAAGATTGGCTACCACTAAGTTTGAACAACCCCACATTGAAATAATCCTACCAAAAATTGGGTAAAAACTTAAGTTCAAAGGGGTAAGTATAAGACCCAAAAGTTTAGATTCCAAGCAACGCCTCGGCATGCATTGAATCTGTTCATTTGGTGTTTCTAATGACCGGCGATGGCTATTCAGCTGGGATTTTGGGGGGTGATCGTCCACATAACCCGACGAGGAGGGGGGCACTGTAGCTGTGGAAAGATGGGACGTTGTTTCCATTCTTTGCAAATCGGGGGAGTCTGTGATCACCTCTGAGAGCATGATCCAGCTATGGTGCCGACTGGCCTATCCTATTCTGGCCCCTGTGACAACTGATTTCACGTTCTCACATGATGCATGTTACCACGAATTGGCTATTCATATATATATATATATACCCATTAAATCATGATTTCCTCAATAAATCCCCAGGAATTGTCCATCCCATTTTTTCATAGTCACCGTGACCACCTATCCTTTGCTTACGGATTCGTCGTCGCCGACACTGTTTGCAGTCTCCTCGGGGTGTGCAAGTGCGCATGGTGCCACGCGAGGGTCCGCAGGGGATCTCAGCTACCATGACAGTCACTTTGGGAAATAGATCAATGTGTGAAAAATGGGAAAATCTATCTACTGGTTGGTGGTTTCAAACATGTTTTTTTCCATAATATATGGGATAATCCTTCCAATTGACTAATATTTTTCAGAGTGGTTAAACCACCAACCAGTCTATAAATGAAGTATTTTCCATGGCAATGTTAGATTTGGCGCTCAAAGTGCAGACCTTTTGGGGTTGTCAGAACATGGTGATACCACTTGTTATTCAAGATCGTGCTTCGTCAAGCAATATCAAGCAATATCAAGCAATAATGGAGATGACCCATTATGGTTCATCAGTTCTCATTATGGACAAAATTCCACCATCTTCGGTGCTTTCAGAACCTGGTGGTGTCCACATCGTGCACAAAGCAAAGAGCAGATTTCTGGGTCCCAATGGACTCGCAAAAATAAAAGGGATTTCAAGGTCGCAACTAGCTTCCAGATGCCATCCAGTTACCAGCAGCACGAGTTCCGTTCACTTTCTACCGAATCGGTCCATGTGTATTTCATCGGATTGGCTCAGTCCGCACTTGTTTTCTTTGAATAGTTACATCCTCATCCACGGCTCAATCCTTCAATGGTAGATACAAACGGTGTGCTTCATTGTTGAAGTTCCTATTTTTGCCGTTAAATCCACTCTTGATCTTTACATCGCGATTTATCCATAGATTGCTAGCTCTTGTTGCTCCGCATCCCCAGTTTCTGTATGTTTCTGGTGCTCTGCGCGATGCAGTGATGCGTGATGCCAGCACCCTGCTTCTCTCCAAGCACGGCGTAGATCCCCAGTTGATGTGTACCCTCTGCCAAACATGGCTGAGAAATGTTCCACCTGTAGATGATTTCCCCATCAGAAATTGAGGAGTTTCCGGAGTTTCCAGTAACAACCTCGCTGTGGCAGCACTAAAGTGATGTTCAATAGGGGTAACATTATCTCCAAATGGCCTTAGTTCAGGGGCTGTGAACCATTGTAATCTATCCAGAGTCTTGATTTTTCTGGCTTACCCTCAAATCCTCTTTCCCTGTTGATCTCCAGGTTTCTGCCACTAACTTCCTGTTGGGTCGATGAGTGAGTCAATGTTTTGGAACAGGATCTGTTGTAAAATCATCCATGAATCACCATGAAATGTTCAACTCATCACATTCATCCAGCAAGTGATCCAAACTTCGTGAACTCAACTAATCATCCACTCATCATTAGTCATGACTTCAATGATCCATTAATCATCCAATAGTTATCCAATAATGATCCATTAATCATCCAATAGTTATCCAATAATCATCCAAAATTCATCCAAACTCATTTGGGTATGGATCAATACCTATGAAAATACCATTTTTAGGGGGTTATTCACATCCATAAATCCCAGCTATTTTGATGTGAACAGAAGGTGCCAGGGTTTTGACCCATCCCCATTTTCTTTGCAAAATCTCCAGTTTCTTCGTTCAAAAAAAAACGACACCGAGCCGGCCACCGCGTCGTCGGCGATGAGGCCCTCCGTAGAGATGGTCTCCCTCAACATCGAGGCATATACTGGGCATTATTATCTGGAAACAACTAATAAAGAAGGGGATTCACTATTATAATAGGATATCACTATTAGATACTATTGGAATATTAATATACTATTATAATGGGATATAACTATTAGATACTATTGGAATATTAATATACTATTGTAATGGGATATAACTATTAGATACTATTGGAATATAATGACAATGATATCACTATTATAATGATAATGGGATATAACTATTAGATACTGTTAGAATATTTAATATCTGCTTGGTGGTGAACATGACTGGATGACATTTCCATTCAGTTGGGAATGTCATCATCCCAACTGACGAAGTTCATCATTTTTCAGAGGGGTAGGTCAACCACCAACCAGATATGAATCATGATCTCACGTCCTGATGTCACTGGAATGATGGGAATTGGATTCGGGGCATCATCCCCATAGCTGGCCGCAAGTTTCAGCTATTTTCAGCTTTGTGAACAATTCGAATTCAACCAAACAAATGGTCATTGGGTTAATACAGGGGTTATTTCTTTGGATAAATTGTTGGATATCATGATCAACAGCGATCTAATGGTGAAAATATGGTGTGTTCAGCGAAGACTGTGGCATGACAGTCGCATCGACAGTTAGGGTGAAGTAATTTGAGTTGTGTTTGTTGGGGCCTTTAGGCTCAAAAGCTGGAATGCAAGTTAGGTGCAACAAGTGTAAGGTTGGACTACCTGCTGAAGGTGATTCTTGGTGCACCGGCTGCAGCGCCTTAGAACTCGCGCAATCTCTCCTCGGGCAACGCTGGCAATCGCCGGGCGTCCGAAAGATTGCTGAGGAGGCGTTAATCACCTCAGCGAGGTTAGTCCGGGCCTTCTCTCAGTTGGATCGGACACTGCCTGTGGCGGCCGCTGGCTCTAGAGCCGAGTCGGCCAGGCCAAACCTTCCGACTCCACCACCGGCACCTCCTCGACCTGTCCGAGATCGCGGACGCGACCGGAGCCGAGATCGAAGAAGGAGGAGATCAAGGAGCAAAGGGGCTGACGAACGATCACCCTTGAGGCGACGCGAGACTTCACAAGCCTTGCAACCAAAGCGACGGGCAACCCCTCATCCACCTGAAGAGGAAGAGTTTTCTTTTGAAGAGGAGAGCGGAAGAGGAAGAAGGACCTGACGATACCGCAGTCCGAGATCCACCAACTGAGGTCAAGACCGAGAGAGGCCACGAACCTCCACCTGAGCCAAAGGATCCACCACGACGCAAGCGTGGACACAAGAAGAAGAGGAAGACACGAGGAGGAAAGAAACATCAACGGCATTACAGAGAGCAGACCAATCCATTGAAGAGGAGCCACAGGAAGTTGAGAGGAGCGGACCTGGAGCTTTCACGCTCTGCTCGGGACGCTCTAGAGAGGAGGATCTGAGGGCATCTGCCCTGAAGGAGAGGCGCAATGGCCTTTCCACCAGAAATGCCCCGAGGGGCGATAGATTGGGGTGGAACACCGGTCGCTACTCCAGGGGAGATTGGAGAAAGCTTGAAAGCCCAACAGAAGCCTACGATTGCCCAGGCGTACGACCTTGTCGAAGCCGACTTTTGGCGCCACAGGCACCTTCCAGCTGGATCAGTACTCACTTTTGCCGCTGGGTTCATAGAGGAATCCGCTGCGGGAGAGTGCGCCGTGCTGGTGAAGGAGAAGGAGATGCATGGAGACTCCATCTGGCTGAAAGTGCGTTGTCTGGGGACCGAAGAAAAAGATTTTCATGCAACGTTTATTCAGTTTTTCAAAAGAGGGAAGACCCAGATTCATCTCTGCTACGGCCCTGCTACAGACTGCCAAGAGTACGCCGACGAGGGTTGCCACATAGACAAGTTTGTGTGGTTTCCTCCAGGCGACTTCAACGCACCATGGCTCAGCAGTGCAGCCAAGAAGGCAGTGAAAGAAGGTGCAAAGATGGCCGAAGAAGAGGTGAAGGCCGCTGGGGGCGGGGCGCCTCCGCGGTCGGCTTTCACGAAGATGGAGGATCGATTGAGACGGCTGAAAGAGAGCCATCATGTCACCTTCGATGGGGACGTGGCGCGAAACAGTGGTCGCATGGCCGATGGCGAGCCGGAGACACACCGGGGTGGTGCTGGGCGTGGTCGTCGCCCCTGCACCTCCGGACTAAAAGCCTTGACGGACGGCAAGGTGAAGCAGGAGACAATCGCCATCGACTCGGATTCAGACAGGCCGCAGAAAAAGAAGAGGTCATCCAGTTCGAGGAATGTGGAAGACCGTCTGGCTCGAGCAGTCACAGAGAGACTTCACCAGGGCGAAAAGAAGGAGAGAAAGAGGAGCCGCAGCAGATCACGCAGGAAGCGTTCCAGAGGACGGAGACGGAAGAGGCGACGGTCAAGCTCCCGGTCAGATTCGAGGGAGAGCAGATCAGGGAAGTCGGAGAGCTCGTCAGAGAGCCTGATACCACCCTTGAAGAAAAAGGCCCAGAAAGATCCGGGGTCTGTCTTCCGGCTATTAGAGCAACAAGCGATGGAACAGTTGGCACGAGATGGTGTGATGGAGGAGGACTACATGACCGAGTCGCGAGAGGGGCGGCGTCCGAAGATCTTCACCTTCTTCCAGCTGGCGTTGAAGCCGGGGCTGGACACCAAGTCGAGGGACTGCAGAGAGATCAGTCTCTTGGCGCGGTGCTTAGACATGCTAAGAGAAGGCCGCTTGGCCAATTTGGCCGACACTTTGGCCGCAAGGCTGCTGGCGGTGGAAACGGCCACAAGGCAAGGATGGGCCACTGCGAGACACCTAGAGGTGTTTGGCCCAGAGGAGGAGGGGCCGGTCCCGCCTCATATCCTCTTGTCGGCCCAACGCCACCAGAGGCAGGTGGAGAAAGCCGGAGGAAAAGGCAGTTGGCCAAAAAGCGGCCAATGGAACTGGGGCGAGTGGCAAGCCGACAGCCGTCCCAAGGGCAAGGCCAAAGGCGACAAAGGAAAAGGCAAACGAGGCAAAGGAAAGAACAAGGCGAAGGGCAAAGGAGATGCGGCCGCGGAGACAGAGAACAAAGCAAAAGGAGGAGAAGCTTGAATTCAGGCAATCAAGCTGCTGAGGGTAGCCTGCCTGGTGACACGACCTTTGAAAGTCAAGTGCCACCCGTGGCGGAAGCGGCAATGGTAAGTGTGCCGACGCGCCCAAGCAGCCTTTTGGAAGTGGAAGCCACTGGACCGGGCTCTGGCGAGGTTGCGGCTGCCGCTGGCCTTCGTTGCCCTGCGGTGCCGACCTCAAAGGAAGCATGGTTCGCGCGGCTAACACAATGCAAGTGCTTGTCGGAAATCGGCATGGCACTGGCATGGGGGTTGAATGCAGGTTTTATACCCCTTACAGTGGGGTGTGCCAGGCCTACACGGCCGGCTGGCTCGAGGAATCGGACCAGCGGGCTGTTTCCCCTGCCGGTGGAAATGCCTGATGAAATTGTAGGCAAGGGTGACCTGTCGTTTTTAGACCATGGAAACCCTTCTTTTTCCCCGCTAGCTGTGAAATGCTGGCGTGCGGTGTCCAATGCAGCCCTGAATGCATACTATGGATGCCCTTTCACGCTGACTGGCGTCCGGGCCGGAAAAGTGCACGCGGCTGCTAGCAGGAACATGTATCAGAAACTTGAGAGGTTTCTCAAACATGATAGGGACTTTGGGATTTGTTTTGATGATGTTAAGAAGGAGGTGAAAGAGAAAAAGGTTAGTTACACAGGTGAAGAAGTTTCCCAACCCCTTCCCCTTAGTGTAAACCAAATTGTTGGGGGTCTGCCGCCTCGAGGTCATGGCGCTTCCGTGCCTGTGGAACCCTTCGTGGTGGGCCGCACCAAGTTCCTGCTGGAGCACCCGCTGGAGTGCCTGCGGGATAGCTCCGAGCGGGCTGATACTCCCTGTCAGGCCCGGGTTCACATCAAGGCTGGGGAGTCCCTGGCCGTTTTCAAACTTTTGGAAGAGAGAGGGATTGTTGATTGGGTTCCCGCAAGTACTGCCTTTAGTGATGATCGGGGTACCTACCTTAACGGCTTGTTTGGAGTTGTGAAACAGGGTCGCTTTACGGCCGAAGGGGAACCTGTCCTTCGAGTTATCATGAACTTGATACCGGTTAACGGGATTCTCGAGGTTATTCGAGGTGATATCAGTTACCTACCATCACCTACAGCTTGGATCCCTATCTGTGCGGAAGACGGGGAGTACTTCACGATGTCCCAGGGTGATATGCAAAGTGCTTTTTATCTGTTTCGAATGCCACCAGGCTGGGAACGGTTCTTCTGTTTTAATTTCTGCGCTTCAGGAGAACAGGTGAATAAAACACCAGGGCATCTCTTCAGGCCAGTTTGCCGGGTACTCCCCATGGGATGGTCGTCCTCGGTTGGGATCATGCAGCAGATATCCAGGCAGGTGCTGCTGATGAAAGGCTTGCCACCTGGCCTTGAAGTGCAGCGCGTACACGGTGTTCCCCGCTGGTTTACTCAAACCGTTGCGGAGTCCACGGGGGACAGAGCTTGGTGGCAAGTTTATCTTGACAATTTTATGTCGGGTCAATCCACCATGACGGCACAGCCTTTGATTGGAAAGCTGCTCCAAGAAGAGGCCATGCAAGCATGGTGTGATGCCGGCATCCTCACTGCCGAAGATAAGCAACTATTGAACGAGCCGAGCGTGGTGGAGCTTGGAATCAGGTTCGATGGGACGGAGAAGCTGCTGGGGGCTTCCCCCGAGCGTGTCTTCCGGACCATACTTGCGACATTGCACATCTTGGACGCTGGGCGATGGAGCAAGAAAGACGCTCAAGTTGTGTTGGGCAGGTGGATCTTCATCTTGCAGTTCCGTCGCGCTGGGATGGGTTGCCTCTCGCGCGCGTGGGACTGCTTGAGGAGCACGCAGCCCACCCCCACAGAAAGACAGCGTCTGAGCCAGGAACTTTTTATGCTGATTGGCATCAGCAATTTGCTGCAGACAGATCTTACCCTGGAGTATGACAACGAGGTCACCTGCAGTGACGCGTCAGAGGGGGGTGGTGCTGTAGCTCGAGCCACAGACTTGACCTGGTCGGGCAAGTCTTACGTTGACAGGGGCCTCCGAGCCGAGCTGGGACCAATTGACTGTCCCGTGCTGCTTATTTCTTGTTTTAATGGCATCGGAGGGTGCTTCCGCATTTACGACATCCTAGGTGTCAAAGTTATGGGCATGGTGTCGGTAGACGTGAGCCGCGAGGCGAATCGTGTCACCAGGAGTACCTGGCCTCAGGTGGATGAACATGACGACATCAATGCCATCACACGTCAGGACGTCTGGCGCTGGGCTAACAGCTTCGCCCGTGCGCTGGAGGTACACGTGTGGGCCGGTTTCCCATGCGTGCACCTGTCCTCAGTGCGGGCGTTCAGACAGAACCTTTATGGAGAAGGTTCCAATTTGTTCTGGCGTTTATTGGAACTTTTGGGATGGATACAAGAAATTTTTGGAACCTTTGCAAAGGTGAAGTTTTGCATTGAGAACGTGGCGTCCATGGACGAAGCAGCCAGACGGCAGATCTCAGCTGAACTGGAAGTGATGCCGGTTAAGCTTGACCCGGCAGACTGCATGCCGTACTCAAGACCACGGCTGGCTTGGTGTTCTGAACCACTGTATCAGATGGAGGGCATCGAACTATGGGAAGAACAAGACTATATCCGGGCGTATGTCACCGCGCCCTGCCCCTCTACAGAGCAGTGGATACGGCCCGGCTGGGCATGGCCAGGCGAAGAATGGGGAGCCAAGTTTCCCACTTTCACGAAGTCCATAAAACGGACATCGCCACCTCCAGTGCCTGCTGGCTATCGCCGTGCAACGCCGGAGATGATCCGACGATGGACAGAAGACTCTTTCAGGTTTCCCCCATATCAATACGCGGAAAAGTTTTTGCTGACGCATCCGTCGCAGCCTGCGCGACTGCTGGATAGCTCAGAGCGCGAGTTGCTGTTGGGATTTGGCACACAGCATACAGCTACCCCACTTCCCATTGTTCTGCCAGGGCTTTCTGGTGGCAATGGAAACATTTATTTAAGCTCAGGTGGGTCCACCCGTCCCATATCAATGTGTTGGAGATGCGGATGATTTTACATTCCCTTCTTTGGAAGGTCCGTAAGGTTTCTTCTTTAAATAAGAGATGGTTGCACCTTGAGGATAGTATGGTTTGTTTACTAATCTTGACTAAAGGGCGTACGTCCAGTAGGATGCTGCAGCCCCTTTCGCGTCAAATTGGCGCCATCCAGCTGGCCACTGGGTCGCAACTGCTGCATGGCCACGTTGGATCATCAGAGAATCCTACAGATGCGGCAGCCCGAAAGTAGCCATGCCTGTGTTTAGCAGGAGGTTCCTGCTGGCTGGAAAGACAGCCGAGGAACGCAGGCAACGGCGCGCTGGGTATCGGTTGAGGGATTTCAGTATCACCTCTAAGACCCGTGCGCGCTATGAACAAGCGGTCGGGAGATTACTCCCCTTCCTGGAAGCCCAAAAGGACCTCAACCACCTGGATGAAGTCCTTTGTGAGTGGATTGAATTGCAGTGGACCAGAGGGGAATCAGTCAATGCAATTGCAGATACTCTATCTGGTTTACATTTCTACTGGCCCCAGGTGAGGGGTGCGTTACGAGAAGCCTGGCGGCTTTTCAAACATTGGCGCAGGATCGAAGCCCCATCCCGTGCGCCGCCTTTGACGGTACTGCTGGCCAAGGCGATCATTAGCCGTGCAGTCCAAAAAGGGGATCTTTGCTTTGCTTGTATTGTTGCCCTGGCATACCATGCCCTGTTGAGAACGGGTGAGGTGCTGGCATTGCGTTTTTGTGACCTTGAATTCCATCTTCAATGCGGTGTAGTTTCCTTACAGCAGAGCAAATCTGGCTCGCGCTCAGGCTCACAGGAAGCGGTCGCACTCCGAGACCGCTGTACATTACAACTTTTGGATACGTTGTGGACTTGTCAACGACACTTTCCTGGTCAGAAGATCTGGCCTCACTCGGGCCAAGCTTTTAGGAAACGCCTGCTCAGCTATTTCCGATTCTTTCGCGTAGTTCATTTTGGGTACAAAGGTTACTCACTTCGTCGAGGAGGAGCAACATTTTTGTTACAACATGGCGTACCCTTGGAAGCGATTTTGCTCCGAGGACGCTGGAAAAGCATCAGTGTCGGGCGTCTTTATTTACAGGATGGCCTGGCGCAGCTACCTTCCTTGCGTATTCCTCCGTGTGATTTGGACAGGATCAATTCCTTTGCGGGCGAAGTGTGCCCAACAGCATTTCATCCTTGAAATGCCGTGAGGGGGGCCGTGGAACAGGCCACAAATAAAGGAGTTGTCCTCTCTTCCATGCCTTTTGGAAGAAAAGAGAGGCAATCTCAATGACGTTCCACCAGTCCGTGCCTTTCGGAATGTGGACGTTCATATGTGACCGGTCATGCCTTTTGGCCGGATGTTTATATCTTTGATAAATCTTTGGCAAACGCCAAGTGGTTAAGATGACCTTCAGGTCTGGCACAAAACAAGTGCGAATTGGCTGAACCCTTGACAGTCGCATCGACAGTTAGGGTGAAGTAATTTGAGTTGTGTTTGTTGGGGCCTTTAGGCTCAAAAGCTGGCCCTCCAGCTCCCTCCCTAATTTGAAGGAACAGGCCACAAATAAAGGAGTTGTCCTCTCTTCCATGCCTTTTGGAAGAAAAGAGAGGCAATCTCAATGACGTTCCACCAGTCCGTGCCTTTCGGAATGTGGACGCTCATATGTGACCGGTCATGCCTTTTGGCCGGATGTTTATATCTTTGATAAATCTTTGGCAAACGCCAAGTGGTTAAGATGACCTTCAGGTCTGGCACAAAACAAGTGCGAATTGGCTGAACCCTAAATATAGGCGTATACCCACAAACATGTGGTGTGTTCAGCGAAGACTGTGGCGGTAGTAACCAGATGTGAAATTAGCGGGGGATTTCGCGGGAGAAATTACCTATGAAAAATAGAGGCAGCATCAAACGCCGTGGATGGAGCCGCTAAAACTGGTGTTCAAACATGGGAACTGAGCCGTGAAGAATTTCCTGATTGGTTACAAAATAGGGACTTATACTAGCTAATTAATTGATATTGGGGATTGTGACAACCAATAGTAGGGAAACCTATCAACAAAATATCCAAAAATGGTGGATATAACCAACAATAAATAAAGGAATGACAGTTGGGATGTAAACCATGAAACTGGTGCCATGACTGGTTGGCGCTCACAGATGTTGTTTAGTTTTTTTTGATTACTCATTGGTAAAATCCACTTGCATCCTTGCCCTCTGGTAATTTAACGTAGCTATTTTAAAATGTGCCATGTACAGTTGGTTTACCTATTGATTTCCGCAAGCTGTTCGTTTGCGGCTCAGTGGATCCGGATCACAAGATCAGGTGAGGCTATCCATGATTCACCCACAAGATCCGCCATTTCCTTACCAGCTTATTGATGTTCCCTTACCCAAAAATTCCCAAACCATGAGAATTTCTTGCTTCCAATGGATTCCCAGATGGGGATTCTTCGAACGCCAGGTCCCGGCTTTCGAAGCCACCAAGAAGTTCTATAAGAGAATCGCTTCCTTGGAGGCGTGGTGGCAGCTGGATAGCAGGAGGCTTAGCTTGGAATGAAGAGAAGAATGGCTATAGTGGAATTTACGGACCAGAATGAGAATATAATGGGGACATACATGCATACATACATACATACATACATATATATATATATACATAACTAATTATAATTCTGTGTGCATCTATTAAATACGGTAGGAAGTATGGAGCATAATGGGGATGAAATGGGGCTAGCAACCCTGCAGTTTTGGGCTGTGGATCAACCCTCGCCATCAGAGCCCAAGGCAACTTGGGTCCCACAAAAAGGCAACTTCCCTTTTGAACATGACCTTCGACTATAGGTTTTGGACTACCATGTCCAAATCAGATTCCATTATTTGTTCAGTTCACATGAGTCACATTGATTGTGAAATCCCGTGGTTCTTTGTTAAATCCACCATTTCTCCTCATGGTTGATGAATAATTTCCGCATCGTTTCTCAATGTGCGCTGCAACCCTGACGTTTGCCCGCCACGGAATCGTAGAAGGGCCTATTTGTGAAGAGTTATTTTTGAATATATGATTGTATGTATATATATATATGTACTTATATATATATACGGGTATGTAGGTGTCATAAGATATAATATATATATATATATTTAGTTCTTCGTACATGTCCATTCTCGGATGTTTAAGACGAGTGAAAACCGTGCAATAGGTAGATTTTGTCTGAAATGGATATCCATCCCTGATGAAGATAAGTTGATGCTATTTCCCCATTCAACATATTGTTCGGGGGGCTGGCAAATGTTGATTCCTCATGAAAATAGATCGTTGTTACTACCCCATTCAGCATATTGATCAGATTGTTTTCATGACAAATTAACAAAGGCGATTTTCTTCTTGGCGAGCGACCGTCCGGGGTGGACGGTAAATGTTTCTTGGTTAAATCCGCATGTGTCATCATTGTTTACTTAAATCCCAATTGGCCACCATATTGGATTGGTTTATACTGTAGTGGTTCAATGGCCACCTTGTTTCACCGTCTTCGGGCTCGCCCATACGGAGGTGTCCTGTTCATATATGGAAACCCCAAACCATTGGGTTTTTCCCATTGATCATAACCCATAACTTGGATGATAACTTGGGGTAGCCCCATGACATAGGAAACCTCCGTCTGTTCTCCACAGGAGGAGGCCTACAGCCAGGCGGGTAACCGGGTAACCGGCTCATGTGTGTGCACGGGATTATGGCCCGCCTGTGCACAGGATGTCCTTTCATCAAGATCATCATCAAGCTCATCATCATCATCATCATCAAAGTCATCAAAGTCATTAACATCATAAGGATAATCAAGAGTGTATGTGGGGCAAAAGCTTCTGTCTGTAACAGCACCTGTGTGAAAAGGCTTCTGTGTGCAAAAGCTGCTCCGTGTAAGAGTGTCTGTGTGTGTGTGAAATTCTTTGTGTACAAGCTTTTGTGTGTAAAAGCCCATGTGTCTAAAATGTTTCTGTGTGCAATAAAGCTTCTCTTTGTAAAGGCGCCGGTGCGTAAAAGCTTGTGCGTTCAAAGGCATCATCTGTGTAACAGCGTCTGTTTGTGGGAGCTTCTCTGTGTAAAAGCGTCTGTTTGTAAATGCTTCTGTGAGCAGAAGCTTCTGTGTAAATGCTTCTTTGTATATACGTTTCTCTGTGTAAATGTTTTTTGTGTAAATGTTTCTTTTTGTAAAAGCGTTTTTGTATACAAGCATCTCTCTGTAAAAGCTTAGGTGTGTCAAAGTTTGCACGTGTAAAAGCGCCTCTGTGTAACAGCACCTCTGTCTCAAAGCTTCGGTGTGTAAAAGCTGTTTGTAAAAGGATCTCTGTGTAACGGCTTCTGTGTTTTAAAGCTGTAAAGTTTTTCTGTGGAAAAACTTCTTTGTTCCTTTCCCCTGTTCCCTCCTTGTTCCCCCCTGCTCCCAATGAGGCGGCTGTCCAGAAGTTCTCGGTGCTACTGAAGAGCAAAGCCGGGACCGCAGCGAGTTACGGCTTTCGAAAATGGTGACCTCTTCTTTATGGGATTTGAATGGGTATTGAAAGGGATTTATGTCCAAAAATGGAGGTTTTATTAAATTTCATACTGGCTTTTCATGGGATTTTCATCATCAACAATCGAATGGTTATCAATGGCAAAATAATGGGGATGTCCCAGAAAGATCCGTGTTGAGCAGCTGGCGACAGCAGTGCTGAAGCCACGAGATGGCGCGATTGTTGAAAGTCATCAACGCGCAGTGGCCCGTGCGCTGCTGTTGCGAAGCTTTGGAGATGCCGGAATTCTGACCCTCGAGGAGAAAACCAGTAAGGGGGAGATTATGATTCAATGATGGATAGATGGGGTGGATGGGGTGGGTGTCAAGCAATCAGAGTGGCCTAGTACGGATTTTTGTGCGGAGACACTGAAGATTTAATCCTGACCCTTGTCGGGATATCATGGAGGTAAAGCTGATTTTCTGGTGAAAACTGAGATTTGACCATGAAAAACTGAAATTGAGAGTTTTCCGCATCAAGTACTCGTGATTTAATAGGTATGTAGCAACCAAGTCATGCGGATTTGAATGGGTAGTTAACACATCAGCATTTCAATGGCAGACTTGATGGGGATTTCACCAAGCCGGGTGATACAATGAGATGTTACCAGCACATGTTAGCTGGGGAATCAAGAAAGGGAATATGTGATTTTTTGGGATTCCTTGGTTAACTCTTATAGATTCTCTAGCAAAATGTTGGGGCATCCCTCAAGCAAATCCCCACAATTCTTGGGGAATCTATGGGGAAGTTGTATCCGAATTTTAGATGAAGCTTAGATTGATCATGTTTTCATCCCAATCGTCTACCATTTTCCGAGGTCGGAGGACCGAAGCTGCTTCTGTGCCCCGTGCCGGACCAGCGGATCAAGGCGCTTTTGGCTCGAGCTGTCGTTGGGCTTCATGAGATTCCACATTTCTTGTTGCAATCATCATACCCTCTGGTAAACGTTTACATAGCTATGGAATCACCATGTTTAATGGGAAAATCCACTATTAATGGCAATTTTCAATAGCTACGTTAAATTACCAGAGGGTATCTGGTTGGTGGTTTCAAAGATGGCTTTTATGTTCCATTTCATATATGGGAATATATGGGACAATCCAGTGGATGATATCGGGATGGGTCATCAATATCTCATATGAATAATGGAATAATAATGGGATATTACCCGGCCTGGTAAACGTTTACACTTTGCGATTGAAAATGGCCCAGTCGAAATAGTTGATTTACCCAGCTATAAAATGGTGATGTTCCATAGTTATGTTAACGTTTACCAGAGGGTATGAAAAGGTGAAACGGTGCTTTAATTATAGGTGAAGCATCGTCCAACTTACATCCTGGAAACACCTCCAATAGTAAATGTTTGGTGGAATTATGCGGATGTGGTGAAATGTGGTGACTTGTTGGATGGTTCCCGCGTTGGAAATCAATGGGCACAAATGTCAAGTCAATCGGATTTCTAAATGAAGCCATCTATGGTTTGCAAAAAAATCGGCGGTGAATTTGGTTGCGAGTTTTCAAATATCCAACAGACATGAGGGAACCAACAGCAAGATGGAGATCCAATGAAATACAAAACTTGGTGGTATGGTGACATGGTTCAATCTGATGCTTTGAAATACTGCTTATTCATGGTAATGGCCATCCAA